TTTTTTTTTTTTAACCAGAACAACCTGAGGTGGTGATAGGGGTGCTGATAAGAGCAGACCCCGCCATCACTCTCGGGGAGGCTCCATCTATTGGTGGGGAGCTGCACCTGCTGGAAACCGGGTCCAGCGTCCCAGAACAACATGTTTCCTTGTTTACACTGACATTTGATTGTGGTAACCGGTAGTTGTATGGTCCATCCTCGAAGGAGGCGATTTCTCAATAAAGCTATACATCTACTCAGTAATCTAAGTCTTTTGCCTACATGACATCCTTACTTAGGTGGTAGTAAACCCGAGTCCCATGACTGCTGTTTCCCTTCACTCATGGAGCCAGGCTCTATCACCGATGAATGTGCCCCAGTGCATGTAGGCAAACTGACCTCACGTTCCCCAGCCCCCACCCTTTGGAACATGGTTTTTTGAACAATGTTAAACAATGTTAGACTGTGTTAGCTATCTTTTGAGACTGCTACAATCTGTGGGAAATCTTCTTATGGATAATATCAGCCTTGGGCACTGGGCCCTTATCTTAAAAAAAAAAAAAAAAAAAAAAAAAAAAAAAAAAAAGTAAAAAAAAAAAGTAAAAAAAAAAAGTAAAAAAAAAATATATGCACGGTCAATGACCGTAAGGATGCCTTCATGCCCGAGGTGGTCGCGGGGAAATGGACTGGTGATGTCCATGGCAATAGAGAGGCCGGGTTCCCGTGGGATAGGCATCGGGCGCAACTCGCCGTAGGGATTGCAGTTGCGGGGCTTGCTTTGTCGGCAAACTTCGCAAGAATCGCAATACCGAGTGACATTGGTAATGAGGTCGGGCCATCGGAATCGTTGTCGAAGTCGTGCAATAGTGCGATTGACTCCGAAATGGCCGGCGTGTTGCGAGTCGTGGTACTCGCCGAAAAGGCGAGTCCGAAGACAATAGTCTCGTAGGACACACAATAAGTCATTGCCTCGCGAGTGGAGGAGCAAGTACCCGTCGACGATGCGCTAGTGGCTTGCCGGTGGGTGATCCGAAGATAGCTGCGCATACAACGTGACGAAATCCGTATCGAACTCATAGCCCCGAATGAAGTGTCGCTTGAGTTCCTCGTCGAACGCGAAGGTATGATGTGTCATAGCGCAAAGATCGGGTCTTCGCGAGAGTGCATCTGCTGCGCGATTGGAGAGGTCAGCGAGATGTTTCGGTGTGAAGTCAAATTGGTCGATGAAGTACATCCATCGTCCGATCATGCTGCTTAACGTATCCTGCGTCTTGTAGTAGGTCAACGGGTTGTTGTCAGTGACCTATGTGAACCTACGACACCCAAGGAGGTGCCACCGGCGCGTGACAGCCATCACGGACGCGAGTAGCTCCTTCTTCCTTGCATCATCAAGTGAGTTGATGGGAGACACTTTGTGGCTGAAATACTCCACGGGGTGTCAATCGTCGCCGTCATGTTGTTCCAAGACTGCCCCAATGCCATAGCCGGAAGCGTCAGTTGTCACTCTCGTTGGCAAGGTGGGGCCGTAGATGCTAAGGACGGGTGCCATAAGCATGGTCGTCTTGAGTGCTTGGAATGACCGGCGTGCGTCGTCATGGAATACGAATGGCACCTTTGGCGGTTGTAATCCCGTCATAGGTGCGGCAATTCTTGAGTACCCGACGATGAAGCGTTGATAGTAGCCCGCCAATCCCATAAATGAGCGAACGTCCGTGGTGTTGGTGGCCTTGGGCCACACGTGGATGGCCTCGATTTTGTCTGCAAGCGGACGGATGCCTTGTGGCGTCACATAACGGCCCAAGTACTCAAGCTCTTGCCATGCGAATTTGCATTTGTCGTGGTTGGCTTTGGCTTGTCGTAACCGGTCCAAAACGGTGCACAGGTGCTCCACATGCTCGTCCAAACTCCGACTGTACACCAAGATATCGTCGAGGTAGATGAGCACAAATCTATCCAACATGTGTCGGAACTCCATTATCATTGTCGCTTGGAATGTGGCCGGGGCATTCGTAAGGCTAAATGGCATGACCAACCATTCAAAGTGTTCATATCGCGTCTTGAACGCGGTCTTGTAGCGGTCTTCCTGCTGGATCTCAAGTTGGTGATAACCCGATTTGAGGTCAAGCTTGGGGAAAAACCTAGCACTGCCCAGCCGTTCGAGAAGATCGTCGATGTGCGGGAGAGGGCCGACATTCTTGACGGTTTGTGCGTTGATCTTGCGATAATCGATGCATAACCGCAAATCCTTGTTCTTCTTCTGGACGAAGAGAACGGGAGCACCATATGGCGAAAAGTTAGGCCGAATGCATCCATTCTCGAGGAGGTCGTCGAGTTGTGCTCGTAGCACACTTAACTCTTCCTCGCTCATGCGGTAAATGCAACCACACGAAGGTACAACCCCAGCCTCGAGGATGATCTCGTGGCAGATGGGCCGATCTGATACTACTCCGTGCAGGGCTTCGAACACGTCGCCGTCGGCGTCGAGAAGCTCCGTGATGCTTGGGTCCGGTCACCGGTGATGAGTTCGTCGATGAAATGTCATGGGGAGGGAGGGCATGGAGAAATACCCCCCCATCTCCTCGATGTCGTCCGTGGTGATGGAGGTCGAATGCTTCCGGCAGACACCACGTGGCAGTTCATCGAAGGGTGAGGAGGAGGCACCGTGCATGGGACTAGTACTCCGTTCCGATCACGAACGTGAACGGTGCGGCGGTAGAAGTTCACCGGGTGATCCTCGCTTCGCAGCCATGACATGCCCAAGATCATGTTGAACTGAGTGTCCAAAATGTCGAAGGACACGGCCTTGCTTGCATGCGGGGCGAAGAACACGGGGACGGAATCAATGCACCAGTCGATTGACTTGTGCGTTTGATCGTCGGCCAATGTGACATGTGTGGGCTGCGACTTTCTTCGAACGAGTGGCCCAAGGTCAGCGCGTATGATAAAGTCTTGGTTGATATAGTTGCGAGTAGCTCCACAATCGATTGAAGCATTACAGGTCATCTCTCCGATCTGAATGCGCATGTATAACAATGGCGCGTCGATGTCATCGTACCGTTGTATCTTGAACTCACGGTCGATCTTCGCAATGTAGTTGTGAAGGTTAACAACCTCTACTCCGGCGTCCATCAACGGAGTTGGTACTGCAGTGTGCATTTCGCAATTGTGCCATGAGCACGTTGCAATGCGGTTTCGGCAATCAACTGGTCGGGGGAATGGGCATCAATTGGAAGTCCGCGAACATCATCGGGTCGAGCTCCTCAAGTCTTGACCATGACGTTGAATCCCCGACGAAATTTGGCGACGAAGCTGCCGAATCGGTTGTCGATGGTGATGAAACCGTGTATACGGTGGATTGTTGCACGTGGAGTGGTTGGTTTAACGGTGGGACCAAGTGGACAGCGTAATCCTCGTAAGTGAACCGAGGACTCGCGACATCCGCAATCTCCCCAGATGTGTAGGAGGTCGCTAGCAAGGCGGCCGAATCTAGCGGAGTGAGAGGTGGAGTCGCCTCACCTCCCGCGCAACTTAGTTTCCCGAGTTGATGCAAGGTCGAACATCCTCCTTGCCTTGATCCGGGGAGGTCTTGTGCTTGGTGCTGTTGCACCAATAGCGGCAGCCGTATCGACTGCGGTAGTTGTATTCGACCTCGGTCAAGTTGAACTTGACCCATGGTACTGGCTGTCTGTTTCCGATTGGCGATACCGTTTTCGCCTTCCCTTTTCCACGAGAGTTGTTGTTGCTTTGTGGCTGGACGGCGGCCACCTGATCTCCCTCACGTGATGCTGAGGTGGCTGCCGACTCCTCAACAATGTTGTCCGGCTGGACTGCAGCGACATGCTGCGGATACGAACCAAATTTTCCTTTCTCTACATAGGTTGGCTGCCACGATGACTTCTCGTGTGCAACAGCCCAGTTAGTCTTGATGATCTCTCTCGCGCCTTGTCGATAATTTCGGCAAAGTTCGTGTACTGCTTGCGATCACTGAGTGCGAGACTCAAGGCGACACACGACTGGTTGTAGAATTCTCTATGCAGATGCAAAATTGACAACTAGAGATCGGGCGTTGCCACGATCTTTTGCCATTCGGTGAGCCAATCGTGTGTCGATGCATTGCCTTGGGTCATGGTGAAAAGGCGGTTGATGGCGAGCGTCGGAGCATCGTCGACGATGAACCGCTTCTTCCATTCTCTCGTCAGATCTTCCCAAGAGATTTTTTGGTATAGATGGTTTACCTAGACGTCGTGGATGGTTGTCGTGTGGCTGAGCCAGATCTGGACTCCGCCCTTGACATTGAGGAACAACGTCAAGATGAACGAGTATTCGGGGACCTCGTGAATCCTAAGCTCCGTTGTAAAATCATCCCACCAGACGACTGGGTTCTGATGCATATACTAGTCGTCAAATTTCTCGATCCTGAACGTCGACATCTTGTAGTGCTTCGATGTGCTGCGATCGTTGTCGGGCGGCTGGTGTAGCTGCCTGAGTTCGGGTTGCAAGGTGTCGAGCTGCTCGCTGATGGTGGCTGGTGCGGCAAAGGTGCTGATGTCGCCGAGCATTGCGACTATATGATCAACTCGTTCCTCCAATTGGCGGGTAGAGGGTGCACTGCTGGACTCGCCAGCATCTGGTCATGGTGCGGCCTGCTCCAAGTCCTGTACAAGGGAATGAAGTGTCCGTGTAGCATCCTCGTGCAAATCCTTGTGGTTCTGCATTGCCCGTCGGAGACTCACCAATTCCTGGTACTGTTTCACCAGTTTTTGGTGTTGTTTTGCCAGTTCCTAGTGTTGTTTCTCTAACTCGGACTGTTGGTGGTTACAAGTGTAAACCAACTGTGTCACGAGTTTGGAGAAAAACTCCTTGTGCTGCTCTTCCGGTGTTGCGTTGTCGTGGTCGGCGGATGGTTCAAAATGTCAGAACTTGAGTTTATCCATGCTCGTGGCTTCGTGTCGCTGCAGCAGCTCTTGGGCCTCCTTGCGGAAGGTCTGGGCATTTGCTTTTGCTTCGGCCTGCAGCCGCTGCTTTTCAGTTGTTGCCTCTGCTTCAGCCTGTAGGCGGGCAGCCTCGGCTGTCGCCTGGCGTCGTACCTCCGCCTCGGTCAGTGCGAGATGAGTTAGAGTCCGCTGATGGTACTCGTCAATGGACTCGTCGACCTGTTGCCCTGGCAGGCCCAATGATGAACCCGTCATGGTGGCGGGGTCCTGCTGACGTGGCACTGCTGATGAAGTATCATTGCTGCTGACGTGGCACAAATATAGCACTATTGACGTGGCACTGTGCTGACATGGCACTGCTGATGTGGCACTGGTGCTGACATGGCACTTACCAAACCGGGAATGCAGGCAAAGGGTTGGGCGGGAGGGAAAACGCAGGTAGGTAACCAACCAAACTATACTTTCCTCCCGATCCTAATCAACAGACTAAAATAAAAAAATAAAATAAAAGAAGAGGATCACCCTCCCCCTTTTTTTTTATATATTCATCGATCTGCTATGAGTGAGGCATTTCAGAGGAGTACTATGAGCGAGATCTAGGCAAGGTTCCGCAAAGTTTCGGCTTTCGAAAAAAATGCGATCTTGAAAGAAAAAAAAATTGCTCGAAATAGACTGGAGGTTCCACTTTCAGAGAAGAATATATCCAGTCCGAGAATATGACAAACTCCCTAGTTCACCTACTATGCCCAGAGTAAAACAGAAAACAAAATGCTAATATCTGAAGTTGCAAAAAAGAGAAAAACTTTTGCAGAGATTTGACGAAGTCCTACTTGATTTACTAATAAACAATCAATCAATAATCAATCAATCAATTAATCAATCAATCAATCAATCAATCAATCAATCAATCAATCAGAAGATCAAGCAAGTTGGCTACTTGATTGGGTGGATCTTCTGATTGAGAGGTCCGCTCCAGTACCAAACTGTCACATACTGTAAAGGTGCAGACCAGAGTAAGAACCGACCTTTCTCACAGAGTACAAGATAGCGCAGCGGAGGGCTAATATACCAATGATCCGAACAATCAATGTTGCAATGCAGACCAAACATACATCATCATCATTCCATGGTGTGAAGGGCCCTGGTGCTCACACAGGAAGAATGTGTCAGTCCCCACTCATACACAAACGAAGAAGAGGGGGGGTAGATGAAAAAGAGGGGAAAATGGGAATGTCGTCAACACCAAGTCTTCAGTAGAGGTCCCAAATAATCCCTCGTCCAATGTCTCAATCCCAATGTGGAGTCTGGATCCAAATGTCGTAAAGTCCCAAAGTTACAAATTTCTCTCTCTCTCGTAGTCTGCAGATATTGAGAAGTTAGGTAGCGAGAGGGTGAGGGAGAGATGGTGGACTTAGAAGAGAAAGAAGAAGAACTCTCTCTCTCTCTCTCTCTCTCTCTCTCTCTCTCTCTCTCTCTCTCTCTCTCTCTCTCTCTCCGGTACTAACCTGTAAAGGAAGGCGGCGCCTTGTTGCAGGTACATCGAAGACGAAGTTGGAGCTATGGCGTTGTCGAGCGCATCGGCACTCGCGTGAACGAGGGCCCTCCCGGCTATGTCACGCAGAAGTTAGAACAAAACAAATCAAGAGGCAAGCTTAGGGTGATGCATAAATAATCCCGCGAACGGCCGAGACGGATGCGGTTGCATTGTCCCTTCGCCGCTCTAGCCGGGTGCGCCAGCTGTACTTCCCACGGTCCCCTACGACAGGATAGGTTTCCGCAGGGCACAACTTACCTTCCCTAAGGGGCTGTCACCACCCTCAAGGGCGTATCCCTACCGAGCTACTGACTCACGTGCGAAAGCTTTTACATGCAATTGCAGAGGTAGGTCAGCCGAGGGCGTTTGCTCGCTCGCTGGAGTATAGGTACGTTTGGTTAACGCCAAGTGGACCCGAACGTTGTCCGTCTCCTGGGGCGCTGGTCTCCTAGGTACGAACGAACGCTGGTCGACTAGGACGGTCTCAACCAAACGCGAAACCACAATATAATCCTAGTCCCTTTATAATTCCCTGATCCCAAGATAAATAAATAAAATCAATACACTTTATATCCAATCACACAAGATTGGATTTTGACTTGATGAGATGATCTGCCAAAGTCATTCAATCCAACTAACGTCGACCTATGATTAAACACGCATACGCCTGTCTCCATACATTCTCAATCTTCCTGGATGACAGGTTGCTTCGCGGACGATTATTGATCAGGTACATGGCTTGAAGTGTTGCATGCCTCTCCCTCTAGGAAGTGGTCTGTGGATACTCCTTCCCCTCGCCTGAGCCCGAAGCCTCAGATCTCAGAGGTTGGGCCGTCACCACCGAGTCGGCAAGTACCACCCCCGACGAGTCGGCTCCACTCCAAGTCGATAACAGGATCGGCTCCGAAAGCATACGAGCCCCCGCCTTGGATGCTTCCTAGAGAAGGGAATGCGTTCACCGCAAGTAGTTTTCAATTTC